CTAGAAGGTTCTAAGGACTATCTCTCTAACAATTAAACTAAAGTATTTGTGAGTCCAAAAAGGCATGACATTATATATAAAATATCTATATCTAGTTCAAAAAAGAAGTCTTCTATTCATCTCTTTTTTTGATGCAAACTAGCTTGTATACTCTTTATAAAATTATTTTTGTATAGATCTTTGTTTAATTGAGTTAGTCAAAAAATCCTAAAATCAAAGATAGGAAATACCCATTTTTGATCTTCATCTTGTTAAGTCTTTGATAGTCTATACACATCTATAAAGATCCATCTTTTTTCTTTTCAAATAAGATAGAAGCTCCTTTTAAAAATTTCAAATGGCATATGAAATTCTTAGCAAATTTTTTATCAATGTACTCTTTTAGTGCAACCAACTCATTTTGCAATAAGCTGTACATTAGTTCAAATGGTGGTTGAGCTCATTCTTGTAGATCAATTGTACAATCATAAGATCAATGCTTTCGAAGAATGTTTTCACTTTTCTTTTCAAAAACGTCTTGAAAATCTTAATACTCATTAGGAATAGCACTTGAAGTCTTTCTAACATCAAAAATAAGTGTAGCATATGAAGAGAAAGATGACATTTTTTTTGCCATATATATGAAAGTTGTACCTACTATTAAGAATTTGGATGTACTAGGTTAAGCTATTTGTACTTCACTATTGAAAATTTAGATTAAACTACAAGAAAAATTTAAGGTTACAAGAAATCCAATCAATCTGAGAGTTACAAAAAATCCAATCTTAATCAATCAATCTAATTAAACTACAAGAAAAGTTAAGACTATGATAATCCTAAAATAATTAGATTAAAAAAAAATCTTATTACATTAAATATTACTATACTATTATGATCTTTAATTGCTACATCTAAACGAATAATTTCATGAGTAACATCTCTAAAAAAATAATGAACAATCATCTATGACTTCTACATGTATAAATTTAATTTTTTTGAATAAAGATATTTCTTATTTCTTGACAAAATCTTTGTTTATAAAACAAGTTGAGGCTCTTGAATCTAATAATGCAAAGATTTTATGATTTTTAAGTCCTGAATACACATCTATTCTAAAACAAGATGTAGGATTTAAAAAGAGAATATGACCTTTATTAGATGTTGCATATAAATTTAGCTACACGATTCCTATTATAGCTATAAAAATTTATTTTTTCACACATTGTTTACTTTGGCAATTGTATTCCTCATTTTATGATTGCATTGCTACTTTTTTAATTAATAAAGAGTTTAAAATGTATCGTATCAATTTGCATTGGTTTTGGCCTTGATAAATAAGTTTTTGAAAACTTGAAAGTTGTTATAATTACTTGGCTTATTCCTCTCCAACAAAGCCTTTGTTCTTGAAGTTTTTTAAATAATCGATTGTTACATACAATGGCTTGAGCAATAAATTGTTTCAAAGATTTTACTTTTGGCATTGTCAATAAAAAAAATATTTGAGGTTATCCTTCAATCCATATTAAAATTGATTGATGAGGGCTTTGTCATTCCAATCTACGTTGTTGTATTACATGTTGTCTTGCTTGGAAATGCACCAGGCATCTAGCTATGAAAGATTAGGTTGTATTTTACAAACATCCAAGAAACCCTAATAGGTTTCTTCCTTATGAGAAGAATATAATCCAAATTTCAATTCAAAAGTAGTAAAAAGCACTCTTCTAAGTAGCTTCAATGATACATAAACCTCAATTACCTTGTTACTTTCATATTTAAGCAATTTAGATTTTTCTTGTAAGCTCCAACCTTAATTAGTGAGCTTTGACAAGCTGTAACTTCTAATCTAACCATCCACTTGATGTGAAATTTTGCATGCAATTATCGATGTAAGTCTTCTATACGTTCAAGTATTTTCAGCCCAATCCAACTTATAGATTGTGTGAAAACCTCCAAAAACTGCACTGATGTCACTTGACTACCAACTTGAAACGTGAAGCAAAAGTTTCAATAGTGATTTTTCCTTCTTCAACAATTAACTTTGAGTCAAAATTGGTGTGTACCTTAATCTTTAAGTATTTCAACACCATGCCAAATTTCATCTTGATCCGACTAATAGATCTCTAGATATCATAGAAATCCTATCCAACTCCAAACTACCAACTTCTGATATGTACTTGTATCAAAACCTAAATATCTCTGAATTGCATTGTTGAATTACTACAAAATTTTACATATACTTAGAAGACTTAATTATCCAATCACTATTAAAATTTGAATCTTAGATGTGACACTAATTTTATGAATTAGCTAAGAGTGCTAGCCCTAATTTTATTGCATAAATCTCAAGTTGCCAATACAAACCTTTACTTCCAACAATTGCTAACTCTCCTCAAATCCTACCAAAACCAATCTTATGTCTCTAGAACAAGCTCTAACCTAGCTCTCCAACCTTAATCTCCGATCTTTAAATTAATACCTATTTTTCCCTAAGTAGTCATTTTAGTGGACAGAGGTCTAATATTAACCTTGTCTCACAAATGGTCGACCCCTTGATATCAATCTAACCTATCCTAAGGATTTTTTAGCCCAATCCTATCCTCAATTTAATCCTAGTATCAACTATACTAACTATTTATCTCTTTTAACTTGATTTTATCAATTTATGGTCTTTCTAAGGTAGTAAAAGAGTCTCTACAACTAGAAGGTAAAATTATTAATTAACTTTCAACTTACTAACTATTAAGATAAAAAATAACCTCAGAAGCTTTTATAAAAGCCATTTTTAGATATCTTGAATTATTATTGAATCAAGATAATTAGATATTAATTAGAAATTCAATTTTGATTGTAGTTTCACTATATAGTTGTATTACATCATGACAACATTGCAAGTGAGGTTTTGGAATTTAACAGCATATATAGTGGTTGATTGTGATTCTTATTATAAACATAAGAGCTTAGTCTCTATTATTCTTTTTCAATTATTTTCTTTGAATGTGGCTGTAAACACTTTGAAGAATGAATTTAAATAAAAAAAGAATCATGAATCTTTTTCCATCAAAGGTACAAACTAAGAGAGAGCACTTCCAGATAAAACTACGCCTATGAACCCAACTTGAGTAAATCCATTAGAGTATTGGAAGAGATACAACCTTAGATAGAGCCTGGCTTGTTGCAAAAATCTTCAAAGTTTTGATCTTCTTCCATCAGAATTCTCGGGCATACTAATCATTCTCTTTGTTGTACTTATAAAGACAAAACTTCCTAGATTTAGTTGTAAGGTTGATTTATTTGCTTCCTTCAACTGCACAAATTTTTGACATAGACTCTAAGCTTCTTCTATAGGCATAAGATTAATATTTCTATGGTTGGCACTTGTAATGCATGAAATTTCTACTCTAAGAATATTGACAAGTTTGTCAAGATCAACAATAGTTGCAAATCTATTCTCACTTCTGCCAAGTATAGCATCTCTAATTTTTCCTACCATTTCAAATAACTTAATAAATCCACAAGTCAAATTAGAAGATGATAATCTTTAATTTCTAATATCAAATAAAATTTCTACAAAAAAGGTTAATCTGCTCTCTTTAAGGAAAAAAAATTGGTGTTAGAAAATTAAACAGTTTGTTTAAAAGTGGATAATCTCCAATCTTCAAAATACAACAATAAAAGTGGGATCACCTACTCACTTCTAAAACAAGACAAGAATAATGAATTAACATTCTTGTCAAATTGTCAAAGACATGAACTTCAAAGAACTAAAATATCAATATACTCTTATATCACTTAAAAAGACTAGAAAATCATTCAAAGATGGCTATTATCAAAGACAAAAAGACTAAAAAGACTTGAAACAAGATTAAGGACTAGAAAGGCATTGGCAAGTGTGAAGAAGGCTTCACTCTTGCCACAATATATACTCTTAATTAGGGGCTATATGATGATATTCTATATGACCTCTAAAATATGTAGACTTTGCAAAACACGTATTTTAACTTGCAAGCAAGTTTTTTTATATATGCACCACACAGTAAGCTTGTTCTATAGGCTACCAACACATAGTTAACTTATTGACCAAGTTTCTAACCTACCAACCAACTACAAATACATGTAAAGTCAAAGCAATGTCTATGAAACTTCTAAGAAGCATCTTTAGAAAATATTATGAAATAAATCTACTTTTACCTACTTCTACTTAAGTAAATATTAGAATAAATATGTATGTTTGTGATAGAAGACATACATTGAATAAGATCATCAACATGGAATGTCCTATGATTTACAATGTTGACTTCTATGATGGTGGTATTTATATAAAATATTTGTTAATTCCAAATAATTAACATATATATATGAAGTTGGAAAGACATAGAACATAGGAGGTATAAGTAAACCTTGTCATATATCAATTGTTCCTTTTTTGCACATAAATAAGAACTTCAAAATACAACTAATAGTACAATGTAACTAGTAATTTTTTTCAAGTCATCTTTTTCATATGCCATTTTTTAATAATAAATATGAAATGTAAATATATAATAAAATTCAAAATCCAAAAACAATAATACATGATTCTAAAAATCCAATTTACTTCCAAAAAAAAAAAAACAAACAAACAAACAAAAACAAAACAAAACAAAACAAAAAAAACAAAAAAATCAATTATTCAAAGAAAATAATATCCTCCTTCTTCATAACATTCTCCCAACATTTCGTCAACTCCATTCTCCTCTTCTTCATCCAATTAACACATCGACAAGCCGTGAACGGATAACGACCTTCCACCACCGACAACACAATCCTGCAATGAAATCCACCGTCACTGTCGCCGCCGCTGAAGAAGAAGCCATCATCCGACTGATTCGGAGTAAGAAATGTACCGACAGCCCTATCAAGGCCTCGACACAGACAGAGGGCTCAACAAACACGCGAGCAAACAATCCAAATACCTTACAAAGCTGATCGTGAGTGAGAGAATGCTTCCTCGAGTCCAACTGAGATTGACAAGCAATGGTGGCGATCAGCTCCAGTTGTGATCGATGTGGTGCATCGGAGCAGTTTTTCCACAAGCTCTCACAGTTTTCACGAACCCATCACGTCAATTTGTGCCACTGTATGGAATGCACAGACCAGACTTGCACCGCCAGTCGCTCAACGCCGCAGAATCCCAACCTCCAGGTTTGCCGTTATGAATGCGTCGTAGGGGGTTATCATGCTCGCCGGTGTTGCGGACGTTGGACCGTGTTGCATGGCGGTTATGTACGACGGAAGGACGACAGACGGACCCAGTGAGGCCGGCGATGGAATAAGCACTGGGATCCTGCTCTTGGGTTCGCTTGGAATCGACTTCCTTGACAAAGGTTTTGCTCGGTTTGTGGGTTTTGCGAAGCCGATGAGAATGAGGAGGTCCACGGATTTTAAGAAAGTGGGTGTGGTAAATGAGGTCGGCGTCTACGTGTGGAATACACTCTGCTGTTTCGCTAGTCGCCGCCCTTGCTCTGTTTAGTTCACAATTGGTGCATGTAACTCGGTTCTCGTTTAAGCACTCACGGTGAGTTTGGAAAATGCTGAGAGTTCATCGTGATGAAGTCTTGAAGTTCCCCTCTTTTTCACATTGCGCAGATGAGTTGTGGTAATTTCTGCTTTCCCCAACGGCTTTGTGTATTCAGCAGAACATTTCAGTGATGAAGTTGGAACCCAAGTCGTTTCTTGTAACTGCGGCTTTGTCGTAAGTTTGTCCTGATCGAAGGACCAATAGAACAAACAGCCTGCTCTGCATATATTTCTTGCTGTTACCGACCACGTCTTCTCCCATCCTCTCATCTGCTTTTAAGTAGACATTCTCCCACCGATTGAGTACAGCAGTAGACACTTCAATGGTAATCATTTTCCGCTATTTTCGTTATTAATGTGTCAAATTATGACGCATACACGATAGCGGTGGCAAATAGTGGCGTTCATCATTTCGGGCGTTGGTTTGTGTTAGAGATATGATGAGTTGTACACGTTGTTAACGTCGCTGTAGCCTTTGTCGAGGTGCTTTCATCAGTTCTTCGCTCTACTCTTCGTCGGCCTTCATCTTAGGGGGAGGCGGTGGTATTTCTCTCCGGCTTTGCTAATGCTCAAACACAATGCAGCTATTTCTCCACAACAGAGACAGAATGCTGGAATACAGAGGCTGTTTGCTGCAAACTCAGTGCGGTATCAGGTGGACACCCGGAAGGTTCAATGTGAGGATTCTTCTGTTGCTGCTCTCGTCTCTTCTTCCGACCGAACCATTCAAAGTTGAGTTCGATTCGGATTTCACCCAGGCCTGCACTTACCAAGCTTGTATGGATTCCCTTGAATCAGAAACTCGGCGCTTACAATCGTTGAATGACGAAGCCAACTTGAGGTCTGTGGAAACAATGAGGGAACTAGAATTTTTGGGCAAAGATGGTTCCATATCAATTCCTAACTTCTTTGTGTGGAATGGATCTAACGCCGCCGCGGAGCTTCTTCCTTCAGAAGCCGAATCCACAGCTTCAGATTCATACGTAAGGAATGCGATCAAAGAGAAGTTCAAGGAAGTAGTACCATGTAAGGATAGTATGCAGGATTATATTCCACCCAGGGAACTAAAGCAAGGAATGAAGCTCTGTGTGGTGATGGTACCTCCACACTACCTGCGCCCATTCAAGTGGCCTCAATCCCAAAACAAGGTCACCAATTTCATTCTCTTAGACATGAAGTTTTCTGTTAAAGCATTGGGTTTTAGATTCACGTTATACACGCAAGCTTAAACTATGTGTGGCCTCAGATCATGAATAATAGACCTTCAACTTGTTTGCAACGATTAGGCAAGTGTTGAGAACTTTTAAGTCTCCGTTGTCTCCACAGGCACGAGTGCAAAATGTTGCAAACTCTCCACTGCTCAAAGCCAAGCAATCTCGAGCGTGGGTGCACGTTAACGCCTCTACAGTTTTTTTCCTGCCAGGTGGACCAAATTATTTAAACGGGGTGGATTCTTATCTGGACCATATATCAAAGGTGCTGTCTCTTCATCTCTTGAATTGAGCACTATCTCCTCACTCATCTCGACTGCATAGAGCCTTTGGTCTGAGAATGTGAAGGCTTTCTTGTCAGCTGGTTCCAGAGCTAGGAATCGGATCCATCATCAGAGTGGCACTGGATTTCAACTGCGGCACAGGGAGCTTCAGTTGGGCGTTGGGAAAGAGAGGAGTGACCAGTCTCTGTCTTGCTGCGTATGGCTCGTCTGAAGAGGGAGTCCAGTTGGTGATGGAGCGAGGATACCCCGCCATGCTTACTCACAGCTTCGTGTCCCGCTTTCGTCTTCCTTATCCGTGTCAAGCTTTTGACTTACTACACTGCGCTGCCTGCAACATCTCTTGGCTCTCCAATGGTTTTCCCCGTCCCCACTTCTTCAACCTTTCTATTCATTGAGAGTGAATAGTTTTCAGGAATCTGAGGGGCAATAAATTCTGGTAAAACTGGCGATTGATGGCTTCATGTTTGCAGATGGAGCACTGCTATTTGAGGCTGATCGCATCTTGCGTCAGGGTGGTTTTTTTGTGTGGATCATGGACGCATCAAATCACGGAATCACATGGTCAGGTACATATTTGAATTGCCTTGATGCTGCATTAACTTGTCTAGGATCGAACAGTTTAAGTGCCGCTTCAATTTCACCGGCTGCAGACAACGATGGTCATTCTAACCTATTAATTTTTTTGCATTTACTTGTTACTTTCTGATGTTGAAGTATGCTTTATAATTTCCCTGATGATGTAAATCTCATTTATATATATATATATATATATGAATGTTACAGACATGGCAACCCAGACTGAGAAGCTGTGCTGGAATCTAATTACACGAAATAATCAACTAGCTGTGTGGCGAAAACCTGGCTATATGACTTCCGCAAGCTGCAAACTCCATACACATGTTCCTTGTTGTCTTTCACCTCCAATATCCAACTCTACTTGGTGGGAGTGGTCACCCTTCCTCTGAATCCCTCATTAGTTTTCTTTCCATTTAATCCACACGTTCTAGTGTGAAAATTCGGCTATATGTAACTATCTTCACTAACTTAAAGTTCCTCTCAACTAAAACTCTCATTGCCCACATAGGGAAGTTGTGATGAAGCCATGTCTGGAAACAACAAGAAGTGCGTTGCTTACAGCCAATGTTCATTGGAAATCGCGCCTAATCAATCCACCGAAGCGTCTGGAGTTTGTGCCTACTGCTGGCCTCCACAGAGCTAAAAAGGAAGTATTTCTATCGGATTTCAACTACTGGGCTTACTTGACAGACATCTACGTCCGGATCTTCGGCGTGTCAAGAGTGCTTGAGATTCGTAACGTCCTGGATGCTAACGCTGGCTATGGAAGGTCTGGTAATTGCACCATCAACTATCTGTTCAGCTGCTGAGCTTGTATTGATTTGTGAACAAATAAACTTCAGGCTGTCGAATGTTGGCATGTTTTAAATTGTGTGAAGTTGTTCATGAAATAGTTTTGCAGCAGCGATGGCATTGAAGATGCCTCCAGTACCTTGGGTGGTGTTAAACGTAATGCCGGTGGATCAACCAGATCGGCTGCCTGTCATTTTTGATCGAGGTCTTCTAGGAGTTTATCATGACTGGTATGGATAGCATCGTCATTCTACATACTTTTCTGTCTGGAGTGACCGGAAATGTGCAATTCAAATGGCGATTATAATTGGATACATGCATTCAGGTCAATATTTTGCAATACAACATGCCACCGCTTCACGAACAGCCTCTTCAGCACTTTCTAAAGCTAACCAACTTAATGCATTATATGAACCTAACAGGTGTGAGCCGTTTGATTCATACCCACGGACGTTTGACTTAATTCATGCTTCAAGATTATTTTCCTCACAGAACAGGTGGGCACTTTCACAGATGATTTACTACACAATCGTGTGTAAACATTGACGGACGTTAGCAATTGGGGTGCCAAAGCTTTTACTCATCTAGTGAAGTGGTAGTTTAGTAATCTTCGGTATCACGGTGTTGGTGCTTGTGTTGAATCCATACCTGAAACGAAATGAAGAATTGGAGTTATTTGAAGCACAATGAGCAGTTTCGTTGTAGTGGATAGTAGTGCTTGACGTGAGTCTATGAAACTAACTGTCATTCAACTGGGTGGATTACACAACACAACAGGTGCTCTATGCAAGTGATCCTGCAAGAGATGGACCGCCTCTTACGACCCGGTGGTTTCGCCCTCTTCCGTGATCACAAGAAGGTGCTGCTTCCGCTGCAAAAAGTTGCTCAGGCTTTGCACTGGAAGGCTCACATTGAGGACACCGAGAGTGGCACTTGGGGTACTGAAAAATTCTTGCATTGCCAAAAGACAAGATGGACGATTGCCACAAAAACCATTCACTGAATGTCAAGTTTAGATAGAAAGTACCAGGTTTACGGATTTTACTTCTCTTCTCAGGTATCTGATAAACTTCCTTGACAGAAACTAAAATTTCTGTTTTCTGAGCTGAGTTTGCAGTTACTTCTAAAAATATTGCCGAAAGAAATTATCAGTACAGCAAACACGTATGAACTGATTTTGTAATTCTCAAAAATGTAAAAGACAGAACTGCTTGAAGTGAGCCTTGATATTGAAGTATAATGGCAAAAATCTATGGTTCACTCACATAAACTTTTTAGAGCAAATATACTAACAACTTATTTATTTGAAATATTTTATTTTACAATTGACTTTTGTTTTGTTACATAACACTACGGTTTGGCAGGCTGTTGCAATTGTAGCTTAGTTTTCAGCATATATAAAAAGTATAAATTACAAATTCAAATTTGTCCTCCAGATTTCTTTTTTAAAATATTCAAACAAAGCCAAAGTGACATATTAAATTTATAATTAATCACTGATTTTTTGAACATTTATGAACATTTTGAAGTTCATTTACCATCTCTTTTTCCCACAATACCCATCAAATGGGATTTCAATGATCAACTCAAGTTTTAAAATCACATTCTTTTTATGCTTTTCATTAGTACCTTAATTCATATATTTAAATGTATGAGGGTTTCTGTCTGATAAAAACCAATATCATCAGCATCATTTTCGACTCTGGAAACTATCTAAAATCATCTCAGATTTATAAAAATTAAATTATTGCCACTGGAATTTTCATGTAGTTATAACTTCATATGGGTTCAGACAATTTAGAAACAAGAGCAAGAGTTACCGACATGGCAGCCGCCAAGCTCAATGCGCCACCCATACCGCCGACTCAATGTCGGTGGATGATCGCCTCACATCAAATCCAACTGTTGCCGAATCTGTATTAACCCTGGGAACTGTAACTGCAGCATCCAGCCACACTTCATCTGATTCGTGCTTACCAGGACGTCCTTTCCTCTAGAAACCGAGCCGCCGCTTTACCCAGTTCATCGATGCGAAGTCCTTCACCAATCTTCACAGGAACTCCACTGTTACATCCAGACACGAAGAAGTTCAGTGGAGTGTTTTTTTCTAAGAGAATTGATTCCATGAGATGCATTTTGTAAGCCCGAATGAGTGCTACCCAATTGAATGACATCACTGTGCCTACCGCAATCAGATGAGAACCCACCTCAGCGAAGTTTGTTATCAATGAAGGATGCCAGTAAAGGGCATTGCTGCATAAGAGCAGGCATGGTTGTTGTTGTTGTTGTTGTTGTCTTTGTTGTTGTTGTTGTTGTCTTTGTTGTTGTTGTTGTTGTTGTCTTTGTTGTTGTTGTTGTTGTTGTCTTTGTTGTTGTTGTTGTTGTCTTTGTTGTTGTTGTTGTTGTTGTCTTTGTTGTTGTTGTTGTTGTTGTCTTTGTTGTTGTTGTTGTTGTCTTTGTTGTTGTTGTTGTTGTTGTCTTTGTTGTTGTTGTTGTTGTTGTCTTTGTTGTTGTTGTTGTTGTCTTTGTTGTTGTTGTTGTTGTCTTTGTTGTTGTTGTTGTTGTTGTTGTCTTTGTTGTTGTTGTGGTTGAAAAGTTTACATCTGAGTTCTTAGTAAAGTGGCTTCATGGACGGTCATTCAACATGCCCGCGTGGATTCGGACAACGGAAATACTCTTGCTTCGAGACAGGTACAGTTTGCTGAAAGGCAGCAGCAATAATGAGAGCAGTGCAAGCTGTCATGGTCATTGAGTGTTTGCGTACGAATTCAGGGTAGTTGCTTCAGTACTCAACCAGTGCAGATCGCCCAAGTACATGCTTACGGACCAGGTTATTTGGAATCGGGTGACTAGTACATATTATACTCCTAATCCACATTACCGTTCTTAATAATTGAGAGAGCATTGTGCATGATTGTGACCACCTTGTGCGGAACAAGGCTCAGTGTTTGCAGCTCGGATAATTTGACGTGGACACAGCTAGTATCTTGGAGTATTAGAAAAGGCTAGTCTGTGATTGCACGACTGCGTCGAGCTGTATGTCGCCTACCACGGATTCTTGGACGATCTCCGGCGCTGGACCTGTCCACAGGTTCTCTCGAGAGGTAGGATGTTGTGATTGAACAATTCGAATCCTGACATCCATACATTGCTGGGAGGTTTGAGTTCATTCTACTGGCAGGAATGTTTGGACAGATGAATGGAGAACCATGCTATTTCCACTGTCTTGAGAGTTATATATCTGATCGCAAGTGATCCTGGATATGTTTCTGAAGGGGGCAAGAACTTGTCCAACATACTGCATTTCCTTGTCAATGAGTTTCTTTGTTGAGACAAGTAGTCGGGTTTGGGCCTCCGGCAAAGCATGATCCACAGAATTCACAATACAAAGATGGAAAGTAATGGAATGATCTGGAGACTGAGCAGTGACCGAACAATACGAGATGACCATACTGGATTCTTGGTATGGTGAGAAGTGCCGAGGTCATTCTGGTGTAGTGCACAGTCTGTGCGTCATGCATGATTCATGATCTGTTAAGTCATGATTCATAATTCCCGACTTTCCAGTCAAATTGACATCAGTCAACAAGACTGAGCATGCTGTGGATGGAAAAAACATTTGTCCCTTAATTGAGCATGGCAATAAACGAGTATCATGGGAAGCACCAGTTAGTCTAATTAATCACTTTTTTGAAGTTTATGTGCTGTGTTCTTGTCGTAGAGCAAATTTCAAAACCATCATCGGCGGTCACAGCTTCCAGCGACGATGGGCCTTAAGCGTATGTCACCGACGAATGTTTGACGATTATCGCCGACCGAGGGACTCGAACCCTCGACCACGTGGTTAAAAGCCACGCGCTCTACCAACTGAGCTAGGTCGGCTCGATGATCACTTAGATCCAAATAGCAATTTCAAAATATCTAGATATTCTTATTCCAGTCAATTATTGATTTATGGAAAGGCACATCCACTTCATGTCTTATTATTCTTTTTTCAGGAAATCTTGTATGTTTTCCGACATCGATGAGCATGCCTATCAGGAAACTGAGTTTGTTTTTTTTTCATGCTACCATTGGATGTTATCTTGTTATGGTCCTGTTGAATAACCACAATCAGGACTTTATGAAGAAATGCATGTTGAGTGAGGAAGACTGGGAGAAGAAGAATGGAGAAGAAAGGAAGGTTGTGATTAGTAAGTTAATAACTAGCATTCAAATGGTTTTGCTGGGTTGTTGTTGTTGTTGTTGTTGTTCATGACAGTTGTGAAGTGAAGCCTTTCAGAATACTATCAAACTGGGTACTGGGTCATCCCCACCAGAGGATGCCAATATCTTAGGGGAACATGTTCTCCATGTCAGAAGCAGCAGCACCTATCCCCCCCCCCCTCTTGGGTCATGATTTTAGGGTTTCATTGAAAAGGACCAAGTTGGTGGACTATGGCTGGTTCTCACTTTAGTCAATAAAAGTCCAAATTCATATCTCTCATTCATTGATTGACAAAGAAGTAGAGGTTTGCCTCAATGCTTTTTCACAAGGACTTGAAGCCTAACATATATATATATATATATATATACTTGTGTATATTGTAACTATGAAAAAGTGTACAATACAACAAAGGTTATGAAGATTTATCATTTTTTAAAATTTATAAATGTAATGGTGTACTTGCTGCCATATTAAATTCACTTTTCTCTAAGGCTCGTGTCTTGAATTAGTTGTAAATTGTTCAGCATTGACCTCTATCAGAATGTGGCTTAAAAAACTATTTCAAAAACACTTGTAAAGTACTTAAAATTATTTTTAAAAATGCCCCTTCTTCATGATGTGGATACATTATATTATACAAGGTCATGCCAGCTTGCAGAATTCTTATCAATCTTGTCTTGGTATCATTTTCCAGTATCTTGTCCCCTCATCAATTTGGAATATTACCTCACTTGTGTATGTTTTTTGAGCCTCTTACAGTTGCATTTACAACAAATAAAGATAAAGTTTTCATTTTTTCATTTTTTTTTCTTATTTGTAAATATTTAGAGGTGGAAATAAGATTTGATACGGAACACTTTTTAGAGGAAAGAGAGTTTGAAACTTTTGTTGATTTTCTGCATCTGAATCCCAAGCATAAAAATTAAGAAAGAAAGAAAGAAAGAATGGATAGCATACAAATAATCATTAGATGGTCTTATTAAATTCATCAATAAAACAAGGTCGAGAATTTAAAGATGTATCAGCTAATTTTGATTCATCATTAAATTCAATCACAAAATTACTTATTTCAATCATCTCAAATTGACTTCATTATAAATTCATTCTTGACACACTAATTACCATGAATTTGTGCTTATTTTGAGACACCAAGAATCATTTCATACCACCATGAATGCATTATTTGGAACTTGTTTTTATGATACAATGTAATTTGTTTGGCAACCAGTAATGTCTATGCTTTGTAATACATTAATATTTGATTAAGTATGTATGTATGTATGTATGTATGGTATTTGACAAGTTAGATGATTACATCAGAAAAAAGATGAAGCTCCCTTGCTTCTTCTTTTTTAACAAATACGTATAATAACAAATAATCCATTTTGAATTTACTTAATTTTCAAGCACAATCAAAATAACAAGTTATTTTCCCTTTCTATCCCCTAATTTGTACAATTTACACCTAAGTAGAAAGAGAAAAAGGAAACCCCCATGATGACAAAATTCTCATAGTGACCTCCACAAGTACTATTTGTAAATGTTAAAGAGAACAATCTACAATTGATCTAACACACAGTGAATCTCATTACTGTAGTTAATAATAAATTTAATGACTTATAGAGTACCACCAAGTATGCAACCCCAATGGTCAAGTAATGCCATCCATCCCTCCATGTCAAAGTGTGTACAAAAATACATACATACATACACAAGGTTGCTCTCATAGAGCATAAGTGCCCACACAACATTCTAGAATCAATGTGTCTTCTTAGGTCAATTTCCTCACACGTTCACTCACTCACTCATTCATTCCCACACTCTTTTTATTGGTTTTGTCACCCATCCATATCATCAACCTCCCCCCCCCACTCCCCACAAGCCATTGAAGCAACCCATTAAAGGCTTCAGAATCTAGTGCGAAGCATAGAAATTCTCTCTTTGGTGGGACGGGAGCCCTAAAAGTGAAAAGTAGTAAAGTAAAAGGTTGGAGCGTGTCTTGACTCAGTGAAGAGGATGGCAGAGGATCCAGGTTGAAGCCCAGTCTTGGCTGGGACCCTATTCCCCCAACATCCGTTACGAGATATTATTGATAAGGAATATCCAATCCAGTTATTCAATCAGGTACTAACTATCACGCTACTAAATTAGAAAAGGGCATATATCTATGTTGTTGCTATTTTACTTTATTTTTATCCCTTTCCTTTCCTTTCCTTTCCCACGGGCAGACGCTGCCCGTGACGAGGTGGAGTGGGGTCCACGAGACGAACGTCGTCATCCATCCAACGAGCACAGATTCAATCCGTTTGAGGCGATCCAAGATGGACAGTTACGGAACGACCACCTCTTGATTCTCGGTCATCACCCCCCCCTCCCCCAATCATCACTCTCCACTTGCATGCGTCCAACTCAGCCACAATCCCACGGAATTAGTCCACATGGCAAGTACATGTGGGCAAAACACACACCCCATTTTCCCAAGGCAGGGCTCAACTCTTGACGCATTCAAACCAGGAATAACAAGCAAATTCATGAATGTACAGGTACATTCATCCTTATAACACGGTCCAAGACCCCCTGCGGACGCCGTCTCTGACCAAGGAGTTGCGCTGCGGGGTAGAGATGAGTGAGTCTGCGGAGTGTGGAATTGGGGGGTTGTTGGGAGCTGAGAGTTGTGGTGGTGTTGGCAGCAGCGTCGTCTTTGAGGCATGGATTCTGGGACCGAGGAGGGCTCGGAATCTGTGGAATGAAGAAGGGCTAAATAGATGGATGAAGGCTCCCGGTGGTGGGCCTGCCCGGGAGAGTTGAGGCTTGTCGTGAGGTGCTTTGTTGAATACTTAGCGAAGGTTTACTGTTTCGGAGAAATGGTATGGTGCTGCATGGAAATGAGGTGAAGGGAAACAAATTTTTGCAGTGGAGTAGAAGTAAGAGGTCGCAAAATCCAGAGAGAGACAGAGACAGGGAGAGAGTGAAAGAGAGAGAGAGAGAAGGAGACGGGAAGAGGAGACCTGGAATAAGGCAGTGAGACAAGGTTCCACTGGCTTTTTGCTTCCTTGAGCTTCCATTTCTCGGAGACTCGTGGAGAAACCTCTCTCGATTGTGCATTCTACTCAACCCCGTTTTGTTTTTTTCTTACGACTTTGCTGCGTCCTCGCTTCCTTGTAAACCAAGTCTCACGAATTTAGGCCCACTGTCTCAATTTCTAGGATTTATTTTATTATTTCAAAAAAAATCGCTGCTTATGCACACGGAAGTGCCTTATTTGCCTTCCCTGGAGCCACTGACACCTCACACGGTTGCCAAAACCCTTGCAATTCATTCTCCTACCCGCGGACGGGGAAGAACTCGGCACTGGAGAATCTCCGGTGATTTTTGTCACCATAGCTTTTGGTAATTGGGGTTTTTTTTTTTTTTTTTTTTTTTTTTTTTTCCCCCCCTTCTATACAGCCTTGTGGAGGTGTCGGAGCTGGGCTCTCCGGAAGCTGGTGTTAGTCTTCTTGCCAGGGTTTCTCTTGCTCGCGCTGTCTCGAAATTGAGAACAGAGATTTACAGGAACTGCAACTTGAGGACTTCTGAGGAAGGACACGAGGTTTTTAGCCTACTCTTGCTTACATTTATTCTTGTGAGTTCCCTCTTAACGCTGCATCGTGGTCATCACTTCCATTACTTAATTTCTGCTTTTGTATGTGCATCATTCGTTTTCTTCTTTCTTGTTGTGTATGTTGTGATAAATGTTGTTTGGGAAGGGATTGCTCTGCTGCTTGACTGGGTCGTCTACAGCAAGAACATCGAGTCTTGTCATGTGTTCGATAACGTCCTCATGTTTGCACGTGCAATGTAGGTCGGTGCGTGATCCTTTGTCACATTGGATCCGTAGTTTCAATTTTGTTGTTCTATATGTGTAATCTGCCCATTGTCTTATTCAACAAACCTTCTTCTCCGTGAATTATTTATGTGCTTGGTCCCGTCTGTCGGCTTTTACCCCAACTGTGCATTGACTTTGGCTCCAACTTCATTGTACCATGTCCAGCATTGCTTTGAGTAGCACTAAGACAGAGATTTTTTTTTTCTCTCTCTATATTTCGTCGTAATTGATCACTCACGACTCAAAATCGTGTCATCGAGCCTTCGTGTCTGTTAAGCTTTCTAGTCTTATAATTAATCACACCAAGCTGGGACTGCTTGAAGACTTGAGAGAATGTTGTATACCTGGCAATTAGATAGCACGTGGTGATTGTAATTGACCTCAACAGGTTAATTTCACAGTGTAGACGAAAAATGTTTGAGGCCTGTTGTGTTTTCTTTTTTTATGGCTCTACAGCTCGTTGCTCACTGGTTCGCTTCAAGAACTCTTTTTAGGGCTTACAGTACACATGAGAAGTTAGGGCTTATGCTATTTTTTAATCGAACCCTCACACATATTCAGTTACATTGTCAATTGTTGTCACCAAGTTCTTTATGGTAATTCGTCATTTCCTTTATCTGGCGGGCTTCCATCGTTGATTGTTTGATTGACCTGAGATTGATCATTAACCCGAAAGCCTAGATTTGTGCTTCATCAATCTCTGAATGGTCACAATAACCGTATTTTGGTGAAATTCATCTAAGTTGGGGTTATTTATTCAAGTTTGGAAATTTCTCTAAAGCGTGCATCTCTGGGGCTGGACTGCCCGATAGTTGACCTATTACAAAGGCTGTTTTCATCGCTTAAGTCTTTCCTAGATGCCACCAATTTTCTCTTTTAACTTGGGACACCAATGCCAGGCAATCGGGGCACAGTGCTTACTTCACCAGGGCTGTGCCGAGCTGGAGATGTCTTTTGGGGAGGTGGTGGATCACGAAGATATCAATTCCTAGTTAGAGCGCATGCGAACTGACTTTTACCAAGGCTCCTACCTCATCAGTATATGTGGTTGTTTGGTGTCGCCGTCTCGGTATTTCTCTGGCACCATCGTGGAAGGGCAGGGTATACGTAGATGGGTAGGGTTTTGGTCAAGGCTTGAGCGGGCAATTGATCTTTGCTGAGCCAATTGAGGACATAGACCTTGTTCTAAGTTAACAGTTAGAAGTATACAACTGAGGATCTTCTGCACATGTAGTTTTCAAGATCTAAAGTTGGCATACCAATTCATGACATGCTTAAAGTAAGAGGCTTTCGTTCTCTTACTGTTATCGAACGACATGTCCTTTTGAAATGCATGCTGTTTGCTGTTTTCTTCTCTGTCTTTTTTTTCTCCCCCTCTCTTTATTCATTCTTTCTATCTCTGCTTACTCTTGGTGCCATTATTTTCAGTTTGGGCACAACATTGGAACCTGAAACTGGCAGCAGCGAATGACGAGAGACTGCATGGTGCTTGAAAACATAGGCTTTTGTACATAGGCTGACTGTCAACGAAGTCCATGGGAAAACAAGGACCTTGTGGCCATTGTGGCATTGCCAGTATGTTTTTAGCTCATTCTTTCTTTGATATTTGTTGTTAGTTTCTCTTCCTACTTTCTAGTATATAAGCTTTTGCAACTGTGGGTACTTATTCCCGAGTGGGTTTGCGCAGCGACTCCTTTGTGGAGAAATGGGCCTCCAGAGAAGCCTGTCCTGTGCAACGCCTGTGGCTCCAGATGGCGTACGAAAGGAACTCTGTCCAACTATATGCCTATGCATTCTGGTGGATTTGGAGGCTCTGCGATTCCTGAGGGGTCAGCACTAGTGCGTGGGAGAAGGAACAGTAAGAAGTTATTTTCTGAGCCCCGTTCACACAAGAGAAAAGAGCCATGTGAGGGACACCGAGAGACCAGGGCTCCACTTCGTTTACAAAAGCGGTCCTTGAAAGCTGCTGGAAATGACTCAATCTCAACCTCAAGTTTAAGTTCCAACGTGTCAGGATTAGACGACGCTGCCAATATCACCAGCTCAAACACTCACCTTGATGTCGCAGGTTTCTAGCTTTCTAATTTTCTCAAGTTACTATGTTCCATTCTTGTTCACCTGTATTTTTCGACTCAGGCATCTTGATATCTATTGAAATGTGGTTTATCTTTAACATGTAAAATGGCTATATCATTCTGTGCAACCTCTTGCGCCAGTAATTTCGATGAGTCATCCATAACATGGCGAATCAGCTTGCCCTGGAAGGCGAGGGGTTTATTTATTGTTTCTTGAAATTTCAAAACGACTATCATCTTCATTTTTTCTAATCCAGAGTATTTGGCTGCAGTCTCGAGTCCATTCTGGGAAGGCCATATTCCCACAAGGCGACGGACATCCACGTCAAGAGTGTGCACTTCAGTCGACAGGCTTAGCCAGCAGTTCCAGCAGGTTGTGTGTGATGTTCCAACAACCAGCTCTACAATGATGCATGATTTTGCAGATGATCTACTGGTGGATAGCAAGCCCTCCACAATGGCTGATGAGATAGGCTTGGGCAGTGTATTTATTCGGCAAACTACATTAGGTGTGGATAAAACTGAGAGTCGCTCACACTCAGTTGAGGACCCATATCACACTCGTGTTCAAAATAATGGTGCTCCACTTCAGCAGCTCCCTAATGGTACTGAACGTCTGACATCTGTACGTGGGAAGGAGAAGGCAAAGGAGTACAAGAAGGTGGATAGTGGACACCTCAAAGCTACTAATACACTCTTGTAAGTGTCTGTTATTAACCATTTTGGATTTGTTTGTAATTTTTGAATGTATGCCAATGTATAGGTTGTGAAGTCATTGAAGAGTACTTGAATTTATTCCTTTCGTTTCGTAGTTCAATAATGAATTCTTATTCTAAAAGTATCAACTTTTACGCAGAGAGAATTACCCTTACAACAAGCGAGATGTTCTCCAAAGCTGTCAGTCACCACTGGCATTTCTTGAATTGAAGGCACGTATTAACATCTTACGTGTAGTGATTTTGTGAAGAGCAGTAATATCATGGTTTTAGCTTTTCGAGATAGCTTGGATTCCGGATGGATTCATAATAGTTTCCTTCTTTTGTTGATGGTACCGTAGCAGTTAAGTTCTTATGTCAAGCATTTTCTCTTTACAGGACATACTTAATTTTGACACATTTACTGGACTCCTCACGGAGCAAGAGCAGGGACAGCTTATGAGATTTCTGTCCTCTGTGGATGTTCCTGAAGCTTCAGAAAGGTATATGATCTAGGCATGGAATGGTTTATAATTTAGTAAACGAGACGATCTCCATGTTGGAATCTTTTCACATGGCAGCTGAGTATACTTCGAAAAGTAAACACTTTTTATTGATCATGCTTTGTGGCTTACAGTTTGAAGGAAATGTTTACAAGTGCCGAGTTTGAAGGATCCTTGAACAATTTTCAACATTTGCTGGAAGAGGGCATGTTTGAGGTGTCCATGCTGGGAGTGAATTCGCGCATCCTTCAGCATTTCCAGCAGCTTCTTATTCAGACGGACCTCACAAGCTCTGGCTGGATGGAACAATTCTTGCAACTGCAAAACCGTAGTAGACGGCGGGGTGGATCAGTTGATCTCAATAAGGTAACTAACACACCAAAAGAATAAAGTACTTACATACTAAGTTTTTTTTGGATCAAGAAAGATCCTTCTTTTGCTTTTGAAGTGGTTTACCCAGTTTAACTAGTGGCGTATTTATTCTCATAATTGTTGTCTCATTGGCAAATCCTATTTGTGTGTATATTGTGCGTATCCTACCCATTTCCGACGGGTGAAATTTCAGCTTTTAGATATTTTTTTCGCCGTAACGGCTTAACAATAATGTCATGTGACAACATGGCTTGCAGATTAAGGAACTCAACAAAGAGAAAGTGAAGGGCTCTTGGTTATCTCATACGAAGAATACCCCTGCAAACAACAAGCAGTCTCCAGGTAGGTTGCCGAGCCAATCTGGAATAAGTGTACAAAGTGGAGGCCTCATGAATGCCAGCGTTTCTTCTGGGATAATCTTGGAAACTCTGAACGTCGCACCAGATTTAGGAAACTCTTCAAACGACAGAGGTTATGGGTTTGAGGGAGGCGGAGATTGCTTCCCCAGCATCAGTCTCTTGTCGACAGAGCAAATGTCAGCAAACGATCTGCCGAATCTTCAACCCCCTGGACCAGATGAAACCGAAACCGATCTGCTCTTCAACATGCCCACTAACATGATGACCTTCCAGGACACGGCCCTTCTTCAGCAGCCTGTGTGGTCAAAAGCCAAAGAGATCGACACCTACCAGGTACTAATTATTCTAGCTTTATCTAAAACTTCGCAACTCACAAGGCTCGGCGGGACATAAATTGTTCTATACATACACAATTTTTGTTTGTCATACTTATTTTAGAAAGAATGCAGAAGGGAATTTTCAAGTTGAATGTATCAGTTAAGCGTCAAGTAGGTAGAATGGACGCAACACGCAGTAGTTGCGTGAGGTCGCTTCCATTGATTGATCAACTTCAGGAATAACTTAATATCAAACCAAAATTATGAACTAGTTATGGAATCAAATTTCATTTATGAGAAGGAAAGAGAAGTCTACTACCTCTACTCTCACCTTTACTACATGACTTGGAAAATACAGCTTGATGGTTATGCAGTTGCAAAGTATATCACATGAACTATGTATCCTTTTTGCGGGCTTGAAGCTCGATGAAGTCCCTGGTTGGGGAATTGATATCACAGTGCCTATTTGATAGTAATTCCAACCATCTTTTTTGTTGCTTCAGGTGGACATGGGTAGCCCTCTCACCAGTAACATGTGGCACATGGAAAGCACCCCTGCCGAGCTTTTTTGGACTTGATTTGTACCGGACTCTCCCCAGTGGCTGTGTTTTTAAATCCAGAACCCCATGCTTCCATGAAGAAGATGTTTCATTGAAGACCAGAAAGAAGAATTAAAAAGAAAAACAATACAAAAACAAACTATACTGTAAAACAAAAAATCATAACAAAAAAAAAAAAAAAAAAAAAAAAAGTCTTACTGTTTTGTGGCTTTATCTGCATTAACTTCTCCCGGTTCCTTTAAAAAAATCAGTTTTTTTAATTTATTATTTTAAAATTCATTTTTTTTTTTAAAATCTTTGAAAACCCTGTAAGAAGAGGGGGCTTATACTCCATACATGAATTCCCCTTCGAGAGTGTACTTTAGTCATCAGATCAGGTGTACAGTTATCTTTTGGGTTTGTTTTGATCACCTCGAGTGTTGGCGATTTTCCCCTATTGGACAATTATTTGAGTCTTAGTTCCTGTCAATGACTCAAGTGTTGCAATCATACACTGATTTTTCCCCATTTGCAGAATTGGTTCTTTAAGGTGTAGTTCTGATGTTATGAATTCCATTTGTGTAATTTTTATGAATACATGATTTCTCTGGTTTCGAAAAGCACACTTTATTCTTGTAGGAAAAACAATGCACATTGCACAGGTTTACATTTGTTTTAAGGCATAAACTATTAGAAATTCGACAATAAAGAAACAAGCATCTAGGATGATAGGTCAGTTGTGACAAAATTGCGGTGATTTGATCGTCAGGGAGATGGATATTAGTGAACACACAAGTTTTTAGTTAATCCAACTGCAACCATGATATTTATGACACAAGTGATGTCTTTCTTTTTAATACAAATTACATTTTTACTTACATAAATAATAATAATATTATTTTGAAATTTTATAGTGTTGCATTTTGAAGGAAAATAAAGTCTGTATATATATATGTATATAGGGTACATATGTATTGGCCATGTGACCTTTGCTAATTATCTTTTTTAATTAATAAAGTCAATAAAAGTAATTAATTATTAGAAATTAGAGATTATTAATTTTTTTAGGATTGGTTAATGGAAATAACATTGCAAATAGCTTTTGTGCATTAAATGTTTGCATTTGTATCTAGTAGGATTGGTTTTATATTTTTTTATGATGATTATAAAAAAAAAAAAAAGAAAGAAAAGAAGTGAAGATATATATTATTAAGTTGAATGTTTATGTTTATGTTATGAGATATTAATGATTTTTATTTTTTAAAGACTCATAAAATAAACACAATTAGGATTGAATACAAGATTTTAAGTGTAATTGAGTTGTTTTCAAGCAACACATTATTTAAATAATTTCTATCATATTATAAGATAACATTAGTAGTAGTAAACAAAACAACAATCTATTATGAACATGTTTAATCAAATTTATTATTTGTTAAAAATAAATAAATAAATAAAATACCATCTATTATTTTGTTAAATTTTGGACCAGTATTATAGATTTAGTTTTTTTCCCCTTGTTCTTCATTTCTATTAATTTTTTGTACTTGTCTATTTGTTTAACTTATTTTCCCATAGTTTAATCCACCAACCAATGATTGAAGAGTTAAGATTTATACTGACTAGATGCTTATTTTATCAATTAATTTCTATCCACGTTCTAAAAATGCAATTTCCACACTTTAAAAATAATAATAACAAATAATCTATACTTAACACATAGTTGCTCATACTATTGGAAGGTTCCATAGATACTTCTGATTAACATTGTTAAGGCTAAACATGAAGATCAATCTTCTGATCAACGCCAAATTTAGTGACACCATAGTGCAGGTTTCAATCCAGTCGGAGTTTTAGATTCATCAACTCATTGAAAAATTCATGGATTCAAAGGTACAGTAAAAATAAATAAAACTATAACATCCTAAGATTCGGCTTCTTTTTGAATTGATGAAAAAGATTCCAAACTTCAGTACTCTAAAATAGGTGGAAAGAACAGATTCTTCGCCTTGGGTGTGGGCAATATTCTTTAAGAGACCCAAGAGGAATACCATGTCAGCTGAATAACTCTCGAGCTTGATCGCTTAAGAGCTCCTGTTAATTTATCAAATAGGTCATGATAATGAATCTCTCTACTCGTAAACGGTGAAACCAGACAGGACATACTCTCAAATTACACTTCAGAACCTACTAAGACATGAGTGCCAGACAACAGGTAAGCACTTATTGATGGCCTATTTATTGTCATGATCTCGACAACTTCATTGCCCAAGTTCTTACAATGGTAGTCCTTGCAGTTTACAATTGTCTACTTTTGCATGTATTTTCTTACATCGAGGGCATTTCCTATGTCTGTACAACTTATTATGCCTTTCGATATGACATCTGGACATGTGGGTAGTTATCAGCGACACTGTTCTTGTACTCTACAAGTTTCACCTCTAAGAAAAACTCAACGAAACCACCTCCGCACCAGTTGTTTTAACAGTTAACTGTGTGACATGTCATCTAGGAATATTCATAAGGAAAGAGTTGTGTTAAGCATCTCTCAACTCAAAACTTATAAAATTTTGAATCTGGGAACCGTACTTGCTAAATCTGAAGCTGGAAGGAAAATTAAATCAAGTTCAAAAAATCAAAAAATCAAAATGAACTGGACCGATGAAACCAAGAATCTTGGTTAGTGCTTGCAAAGTGGGTAATAAACGTGAACTTGTTTTAGATTTATCGTACAGAGTGGAAGAGCTCATCAGCCATATGATCATCTTGAATTGAAGAAGGTTACCGTTAAGCACTACCTTTCCAATCTTCAGGAAGTTTCCACTTCTCAGCCCAAGGGATCTGAACTTGTTTGCACTGTGGAAACTTGAAGCTGAACTCTGCGTCATCAATGGGTACAGCTGATGCACCCATTGTCAAAACCAGCCAAACATAGCGCGAATCTGCAAGATTTGCTGGTCGCCACCTGCAATCCAAGTTAAAGCTGTTAAAGTAGACCCAATTGGAGAATGGGATAAATCTGATGCCGGCGTATCTCATTCAAATACACAACTTCCAACTGCTCTCCTCAGCACAAAGTCATTATAACAGGGAATGATTTGCGGTCCCATTTGCTCTGAAATTGAAGTCTCTCCAGATTTTGGATGGACGGCAATCGGAAATCCAGAAACCCGACAAATGTGAAAAAGAATTCTGTGCCAATCCATGTTCATAAAATTTGAGGCAATCTTCGTGAACATGTTACAAGAAAACGGCGAAAACAGAACCGACCCTACTGAAAGCATAGAAGGTTCTAAAATATCAGATACTTGCACCTTCTGAGACGCTTTCAAATATTAGAATCCGAAAATTAGGCGCTTGAGAGGACTAATACCAAGTTAAGGGGCAAACCTGTCCGCCATAAATAGGAAAGAATCCGTTAAACCAGGAAGGGGTAGTACAAATGATCCTTGTGAGAAAAATGTATGAGATCGAAATTCCTCATCTTCTCCTCCAATGCATGGATCTCCCAGCGTTGCCCAAGGCCCTAGCATTGACTCAGCAACATGAACTAAAGCACCATTTGGATTCCATCCTGTACAGCCCGAAGTCACCATATAGTAAATATTGCGGTGCTTGAATACAGCCGGTGCTTCTCGATGTTGGCTGACTAATGCCTTCTTCATTCCTCTTTCCACTATATCCGTGTAGTCTTCTGTCAACATCCCTGCAATTTTCGACCCAAAGAATGCTTAATTCCAAGCATACATGCAAGAGCATAAATCAAACAGAACACCTGTGCAGTTGTAAAACGTACGATAATGACAAATAACATATCTTGTTTACAAATTACAAAAAAAACGCTAGAAAAATGCTGCAAAACGAATAATCTGCTTCACAATGTTCACGTTGGTCACTTCAGTCCTCACTGGATGAGGCTTCAGTGCAGTTATATACGAACGTCATCAAGCAATCTCCAACAACCATTCCATACCTATGTGCAACTCGCTGTTCGTTAAAGATGAATAGATGATGTAAGCATCTCCATTGTCATCTTTGAAAATCGTCATGTCTCGACTGTCACAGCCATGGGGTCTCTTACTGCCCATATACTCAAAGGGACCCTCCGGTTGTGTGCTAATGGCCACACCAACAGCAGCTTTAGAATAATTTCCGTTGTCGATGTGCATCCACATTATATAATTTTTGGTCCTCGCATTGTATATAACCTTTGGTCGCTCCACCACATTTCGGAAATACAAATCACTAGACTTGTCCACCCTTTCACCCCGCAAGGCCATTCCTTCAAATTTCCATGCCCACAAATCCTTAGATGAATAGCAGCTTATACCCAATACGTCTACCTGTGAAATATACGAGATATGCCAGATGGCACGTGATTAATAAACATTGAAACCAAGTTACGCGTTTTGACGAGCAGACATAACAAGACATGCAATGCGAGATCCTATCTTCCTGGAAGATTTGAAGCCGCTCTGCATATACTAGTAACGGTGATGAGAAACTGACAACACAAAGTGTTACAGATAGTTCTCATCTATACCCATTTACTGATTAGGAATCCAGCAAAACTGCCATGTGAACACGTAGCTAGCCGGCTATGAAAAGAGAGAAACATGAGTACAGAGAGTCCTCATAGCTACCTATGAATCATGCCAATGCCGAAACGAGAGGCCAATGATCGAAGGACTTACTCTAGCTAGCCCATGCTTGCCAGCATGATATGTGGGCCCGTCTTTATTCTCTCCATACCAATAAAATGTTTGAGTTCCTTCGACATATAGTATGCCTCCACCATGAGCTTGAATGGTCTTACCATCCGTGTCGCGCCATTGTCTGCCTGGATAAAAATACCCTACATTACCGCTCGAAGTCTTCGACGGATCGATTGCATATTTTCTTCCTGGGAATAGCACAGCTAGCTTTTGAAGAGCCGCCTGCTCCCTCGCTTCCTCAATTCTATCCCCGCCCTTATTTTTGAATGGGATGGTAATAGGGAACCTACCTTTCTTCCTAGGTGGGTGTTTTGTCCCAACATCAGCAGTTCTATCACTTTTGTGGACCCGCTGGTAAACCTCTAGGTCAGCATATATATCCATCCCCTTGCTCCATGGATTACGTGGTTCCGGAAGGAGTGTGCCGGAGGGAAATAAGGTGTTATAAATGTGAAGAAATAGAATCCAGGCTGCTAGAGACCAAAGTAGGGTGGACAAACGGCACTTGTTTCCCACATTACAGCTTTTCAGCAACCTATAGAGCATCGTTATCATTTCATCTACGGCTGACCGATCCACGTCAACTTATCCTAGCCAAATAATATCGAGTTTCTCTTGCACCATCAATGCGGACCTTGGCTGTTTGCAGCGAAATGACATAAATTGAACAGATAAAACTTCTGACATGGATGTGCGCTGCTCGTGTCGGTATCTGCACAAAAACACATCCCACCATTCAAACGAGAACAAAACACAGAAAAAAATTGGCATTCATTTCAAGCAGGCGAAGTTCAGTGAGTAATGAAGGGAAAATAGACTAGATGTTTAGCACGTCCGGTAAACATACGGAGAAGTTTAATCAATTCCTTAAAAGAATCACCCACTGCTGGAAATTGACAAATCCTAACATAGAGAGAGATCCTGACACTCGGGATCACTGGAGTGAAAATGCGCCTTGCATGCACCATCTCGAGCAAGGTGCAGCGCTTCAGAATAGTATTGCTGAGAAAGTAACAAGGCAAAAGCTGCAGCTACCCCTCTACATTGCGGATGGTACCTACTTTAGAAACAAAAATAAAAATCGACACCACAGGAACTGGATGGACATGTTAAGAGGATATGTGATGGATGTTGTACTAGGCTGCTTCACCAGACCACAATTAGTTATGGTCAATGTTTCTGTACTCTTTGTGTATTGCGGTGAGTTGCAGAACTGTAATGTTGCTGATAGAAACAGGCTATTCGAGTATCTCATATCCAGTATTACAATCATTTCAATTTGTAATAATGAATCCTCGGCCATGCTGAGTTTCTCTTGTATCGCTTTGCCCCGACCCTCTAAGATTAACATCAATGAGAGAATGACCCTAGAATACATAAAATAGACAATAAGAGTGCCCTCACTGATTTATTTCAGAATGGTTTCTGAATGTCCAATCTAAAACTTTGATAATCGAACAAATGTACAATATTCACAAAGATTTTAAAGAGATTCAAAGCAGAGCTTCAGAAGATTGATGCATATCTAAGTATTTGAAAAGAACAATGCGTAAAAGAATTCTCTGAGCCAACTGCTAGAAGGAAAAATTTGCAACATACTAAGACTCAAGCTAAATCTAGTTTGAAGAACATGCTCCAAAAATTTATACCTCCCGCAACCTATTCAAACTTTGAGAAGAAACTTAAATTCCGATGGTGCCAGTAATCTACAGTAGATCACAAGCTTTTGTAAACGACTCGAAACACATACGATTTCACTTCTCATTCCACTCTCTTCCTTGATTCAGTAGTACTACCATCGCAAGGTATATTTCTGAGAAACGCCAGAAACAGACGGCATATTTACACGAAGACAGCATAAAGTTGAAATTAAAACTTACGGCAATACGCTCATAATCACTGCCCTCACCACAACGAAGATCAAAGAGTAGAACATCTAAACGACACCCAAGTGTGTGTGTATGTGTGTGTGTATTTATATATATATGAAAAACAGAAAATCAACACAAACATAGAAGAAAGAAACGGAGGGAAATACCGCAATACGCTCGCCCGCATTAACCTTGATAACGGCGTCCGCCAACGACTTTTCCAGCAAACGCCCTGCCGTAGAACTATAAGGCGTAAGTTCCAAAGCAATGGCGTCAGCTTCAACCACCTCTGCCAAGCTAAAACTTCGAAAACACAACTGTTCAAACATCAAAAGCAACCTCTCTGCCCGTCTGGTCACCACCAAAAACACTGACAGGCACAGAGCGTTTACCAGGTGAGGCGCTGAATGTTCACGGCGCGACGCGATAGCCCTACGCTCAGATTGCCTGCGTCATTAACCAGGGCGGACATTTCCAACCAAATAAAGCGCCTCCAAATTCACCAGGGCTGTTCGCGAAGATCAAACCAAAAAAGAAAAGACAAAAAAACAAACTTCGATTACTCCGTTTGGAATCGCGAAACACTTTTTGATCGTAGTGTACAATACCGTAACGCCAAACCGCCTCGCACGAGTCCAAAAAACCCGATGATACCGCACTAATATGTAGAGGCACCTCCGCTACTGCGCATGCTCACTCAAATTCACGCAAATCCGCTCGTCGCGAACGATCTTCGGAGGGCCAAAACATCAGACGCCGGAACAGCAGAAATATACATATCTAAGTCGGCTCTGTACAAAATTTAGCAAGACGAAACTCAAATGAAAGGGCTCGCAATCAGGAGTTCCTGCGCAATCAATAAAGCACTCGGCACTGGCGTGTCGAGGAGGGAAACGGGGATCCAAATCAGGCATGCGGAGGCGCCGGAGCAGCAGCAGCAGAATGAATGATTTGCAAAGCCTGGCCTCCTCGCCCCGCTGCCTCCTCATGCCCGATCCCGGTACTCATTCGCGGGCACTGGTCCCCGCTCATGGTGTGGTGTCACCGTCTCCTCTCGCGTCACCGCGTTCGGGATTTTCCGTACGTTTGTGGTCATTCCTCATTCATCCGTTTTGGATGGAATCGTCCTGCTCGTTGTCTTCCTCCTCTTGCTTCCAAACATATTTACTAATTGTTTTGGAGTTCGAGGGAACCATTTTAAATAATTTTGGTCTCTGTTTTCTTAAGAATCACATTTGTAATTGGATATTTTTTTCTTTCTCTCTCTCTCTCTCTCTCTCTCTCTTTTATTTCATTTTATTTTATTTTAAATAATTTTTTTTGATAGTTTCAGACAATAAGTTGTAATTATTTTAGGCAATGGTTTCAAAAGTGTATGAATAGTGAATTTCATGTGGTGGTTCTCTAAATTTTTTTCACATTTCTTTATTTATGGAGAGTACATTGAAAACAAAAAGAAAAAAGAAAAAAGAAAAAATCCAAAAATATAATACAAGTGATAGGTAAAAATCACAACAATAAATAAGTTATGGTTTTTTAATTATAATATATTACGAGAAAGAATATTTGAAGATAATAGGAAGAAAATGTAGGATCCCAAAGCAGATAACATCAATTTATAACATAATAACTATTTGTTTTAGAATTGTTAAAAAAGACATATAATTTTTTAAATTATAAATTAAACTACAAGTAGAAATTTAGATAAAATTTTGAATGAGGTAGAAAATATTTAATAATATGGTCAGATGTAAACCATGAAGGTAATAAAAAAATCTATTCTTATATTAATCAAATTTATTTATTCATTCATTAAAATTATTCATTGAAAATATTAAAAATTATTTTTTTACTCAAATCAGTTTTTAAATGTGATATATTTTTAATTACTAAATGAAACCATTTTTTTCTTTGTAATTCATTCTATACAAAAAAGAATAATCAAAATTAAAATTTAGTATTTATATATTATGAACATTGTTATCTTGATTAAAAATAAAAATAAAATAATGCATATCAGCATAAAAATTAAATAACTGGTAAATTTTCAATAAGTAGTTTACAAGTTTCATTTTATTTTAAATATTAAAAAAATATTTTCTAAAATAAATAGTTGTAAAATTTATATATATTATCTAAAAAATCTTAATTCAAATGAAATAGATAAATTTAAAGCCATTATGGTTATTTATTTATATGTACATATATACATATGTATACTTTCTAGCATGAACTTCGATTGTAAAATTATATGAAAAATACTAATTATTTCATTCTTAATAAATAAAAATTGTAATATAGTATTCTTATATTTGAAATTGTTTTAAATATGATAATTTTTTTAGATATGTAATAATTTTGATGTTGAAAACTTTGGAGTATAAAAAAAAAAATTAATTTTTTCAACACTACTATTGGTTTTAAAATTTTTTAACAATTACATGAAAAATTAATTTTTGACAATAAAAGTTTTTGACTCATAATCATTAGTCATTTATTATACATTGTAATATACTAAAATAGATTTATAATATAAAAATAAATATAAGATATCACAAAATATATATATACCAAGTTGTATCCAAATAAATGAGACTTTTTAAATTAAATGATTTATATCTAAAAGATATGAAATAAGTCAATCTTTAAAATGCAACACAAAAAAAATAAAAGAAAAAAAGAAAAAAGGGCTATAAAAAACATAAAAAAATATTTTTCAAAATAATAGATCCAAACATTATTGCAAAAGAATTCATAGGATGAATGTCATCAACCTAAGTAGACAAAAAGAAAAAATTAGTCTTCAAACTTTACAAACAGACATATATATATATATATATAAATAAACATTTATCGTAATATATATTAATATACACCAATACAAAAAAAAATTAACATACATTAATTGTCATATATATATATATATATATATATATATATCTATATATATATTATAATTATTACCTAGGTAAGATGAATAAATAGAAGTAGATAAATATAGATTAATTTTATAATATCTTCTAGAAAAGCTTCTTAAAAAAATTTTAGACATTGTTTTAATTTTACATGTATTTGTAGTTGATTGATAGGTTACAAACTTGGTCAACAAGCTAACTGGGTACCACATGTATTTATAACTTGGAAAACAAATTAAATATAAAGCGCCTATATAGAAAACTTGTCTTACAAATTAAGATATGTGTCATGCAAAACCAACATGATATTAGAGGTCCTATAGAATGTCACTACTTAGATCCTAGATATATAGTATATATAGAGACAAGAATGAAGCCTCTTCACTCTTGTCAATTCATTTTTTTTTTTAGTTTAGTTTTAAGAGTCTTTAGTTTCCTTGTCTTTAAGCAACATCCATTTGAGTTTTTTTTTAGTATACATACTTCTTTATTTCTATTTTATCATATTTTTTGAAAGAATCTTGCTTATTTATTTGTTTTTATTAAATTCCTCTCCTTAAAAAATTGACAAGAGTATACTTATAATATTAGAGCTTTGTCTTTTTCTTTTATTGATAAGACTTAAGTATATTAGGAGTTACAAATTATTCTCTTCTAAACTAATATTATTCTTAATATATATGTATATATATATTTTTTATTTTTAAGTCTTTTCTTCTATTTTTCTTTATTAATATTAGACATCTTTTATTTTTTAAATATTATCATGGTAAAGCTTCTTAAAATGAAGAGTGTAATGGCATAAATGTAAGAGTAATTAAAGGAGTTAAAGCTTGTAATGCATCAACTCAATTTATTGCGACAAGGAATAATAAGAATAGTAGGAAACAAAGTTATAGAGATGATTGGAGCTGCTTCAATATCTGCACTAAATTATGTTTCTTCTTCTATGATAGAACACCCTTTTAATGTTAGAGAATAAAGGATTGCATTGCTTGAAAAGTTTGATGGCATAAGATTCAAGTTTCAAAGATTTATCAATCAAGTACAGTTTGTAATTGAACTTCAACTCCAAATCTATCCAACTCCAGGATCACAAGTTAGATACATTGAAATACTTCTTTTAGATTCAATATTATTATAGTTTTTATCTTTTTTTAAATAATATAATCCAATATTTGATAATTTAGAGGCTTTTTTGGCAGATTTTTATCCAATATATAGAAAGTATAATATAATTTGTATTGCAACCAATAAAATTCATATTTTGTAATAAAGTAATCGATCAATAATATTATATGCTTTACAATTTTAATAACTTGTAACTGATATTAAGAAGGATGATGCTGCATTTGTTAGACAATTCTTCTACAGATTATAATATGATATAAAAAAATTGATACTCAACTTACTTGATCCTCAAACATTGAATCAAATAATTGACTTTTATTGTGAAGTGTGACAATCAACTGTTTGAATTTTGATCTGAGAGTCACATAAGTGCACCTCAATTTTACTATAATTCAATGACAATACTAACGTGTTTTCAATACATACATTTAAAAATAAAGGATATTCAAATTGATGTGATACATATCAAACCTATTACTAAATAAGAAAAGACTTATCATTGTTATGAAAAATTATGTTTATATCATAGAAAATCTAAGTATATTGCTCAAAATTGTCCAAAGAAGTGACATTGTCAAGGTAGAGAGAGTTTGTCTCAAGAAAGCACTATGCTCCTAGCTGCCACTAATTGCTCAATCAAATCTTGAAATAAAAAAGACTAAATTTGTATATATATATATATAACACTTTTAAGTACTATTATACCAAATATATAAGTCTTAAGTTTCCAAAAACACCCAAAATAAGATAAAATCTCTAAATCCTTAAATATCCTTATGGGATATTATTCTTGAACTTCAAAAACTCATATCTTCCAATTAGACTATTCAAACATATTCAAATTTTACATAAAGTATTAATGTACTTCTAAAAACTATCATAACAAATTTCAACTATAAATTCATTGTAGATCTTGAGATATCTCTAAAATCCTAACAATAGCTTCAAATCCAGGTTTTTATATACCTGTATGTATATTTCTTCATTACTCTCAAACTATATACTCAAATGCCACAAAATTTATATTTATAGCTTTTTAATATAATAATCTACCTTCTTTAAAAGGTTTAAGTCAAAAATTCGTCCAAAATCTTAAGATATAGCTCCAACCATTACAATGAACAAAATCACTTACTTATTGACTTTGATTTGGATGTGCTGACTTTAACTCTCTATAACTTCTTTATCCCGACTCCAAATTCATCAAATAATATATAAAAAGTATAGTTGAAGAAGTTTTCTCTACAATCTTAGTTGCCAATCCTTCATTGCTTTCTGTAAATGTATGTTATGCCCCAAAGAGTGACAGTAGATATGAAATTAACACCTTAAATTTGAGTTCCAATAACTCCTTCATAAAAACTCCAAATCACACAAAATTTACACCAAATTCGTATTCAAAAACCTAAATTTGATGATCTTAGCCTCAAAAGCTTGAATGACCTTGAAAAAGAAACCCTAATCCCTAATAAGGCCTTGGACAACCTCCTTGAAGCCCATTGGACATGGCCTTTGACTAATAGGAATGAAGATCTCCATCTTTGCCTTCATCCATCTATATCTTACTTTCATCCCTCTCAATAAGCCTCCCACTAGTTAAAACTTTCATCTTTAGGCTCTAATCTCCTTTCAAGACTTCATACTAAACATTTAGGTCTTATAATTTTTTTAAATATTATAATAAAAAAAGATAAAATTCAAAATAAAGTTTCTTAAATCTACTCTTTTTAAATTAATCTATTAACTATTCTAACATATATCAAGACTTATGAACATATTATATGTTCTAACTATTTTTTATATATTATAAATAATAACAATACAACAATACAATCACAAAATAAAAAGTATAGCCATCAAAGAAGATAATATGTCAAAAATCGAACTTGTTTAGCTAGAATAAGAACCATG